TAACTTTATCAAGGAGTCAAAGAGTTAAAATAATATTGCCCCAGTGTGTCATTGCTGACTAAGGTCCTGGTTTTAACAAGACCCTAAATTGTTCATGTTCTAATGATGTAATTTGTTATCCTGAATTTCCCCTTATTTTGTCATCAGAGTGCCCGTCTCTAAGGTTGTAACTTCAACACAAATTCTTCACTCAAAATCAGCAACAATTGTGTGTCTGGGTGATAAACTGGTAGCAGCTCTGGTCTCACCTGCTTGATGCAGTCCTGTGGTTGCTGCCTTTCCACTGAGCTGGATGCAGAGGCCTGCCCTGCTCTGCACTGGGGTCACTGGCGGGCCACCAAATTCATCCAGGTATGTGGGATATGTTGGAAGAAGGCAGTGGTCCCCAAGGGAAAAAGCAGGAAAAACTTCTGTGATCTTCAGGTTGATACAGATGTTATCTAATGAGTGACATTTTTCTTATATTCCAATCCATGTGATTTATTAGGGCAAGAGTATTTCCTGCTGGGAATACACTTAATTTACGACCAGTTATTTCTTTTCTTGCTTTTTTTTTCTTTTTTCTTTTTTCTTTTTTTTTTTTTGTGTGTGTGTGTGTGTGTGTGTGTGTGGTCTTGTAGCCAGGTTTCTCAGAGCTGGAGGACCAACACCAAGGTGGCTTGGCTTCATTGCCTCCAGAAGACCATCACCAAAAGTGAGCACAGCTGACATGGAAAAATGGAAAATGGAGGGAAAAGGCTGTAGAGCAGAGTGAATAAAAGCAAGAATATGAGCTAAGTCCTTTGCTTTTGGAAACTTTCCAACAACCTCTAATACGCATTAGTGAGATATTAGCATTCTGCCTTGCAGGATGAACTATATGATATTACATCTTAGCCCTGCACATTTTCAAGCTCCTTGCCCTTTATTACAGACACTGGTTTATTAAAACTGGATATGGACCTAGATCAAACTCTGGCAGAAACTGAATGAATGTCTGCCTCCAAAGCCTGCAGCTAGCTACAACTGCTCTCTAATGCTTAAAATAATGCTTAACCCAATGAAACACCCAAGAGCTTCTCATCCCTTCTCTCTTTGCTCTCCCTGAACAACGCTCCATATGCCCGGATGTGTGGGAGCTGACAGCATGCAAAACTCCCTGCCCGCTAATGCTCCTGGTGTGGTGGGCAGTGTCTGAGGAGCCACATTCCATCCTATGAAGCATGATCGATGATGTATCTGAAAGGGTACTGCATCTGACTTGTTTTGAAGTCTGTTCATGTGACCCGTTCTGCTTCCAGGACTAGCTGGCAGTTAATTTCCTCTTGCTTTTTTCCAAAATGTCCTTCCCATGTCCTTTTGTTTTATGGTCTTCACTAAGGAATGTTGTCCTCTGGATCATTTTTATTGGCTTTGCTTTTTAATAATCAGCATTTGTGTTTTAATGCAGTGGGATTTTTTTTTTGTAACAAAATTCATAGCTCAGAAACAAATCAAAGCAGTCTTTCATTTCCTCAGATAGATCTGAAATGCGATTACTTTTGTAAGTTGTAAATAAAGAGCTGGTAACTGACACTTAATGGGATGCACTCCCAGCATGTTTTCAGCATCCACTGATAGGAAAACTGCTGAGTTGGTGCATCAGGCCACTTCGTCCTGCTCTTTTCACTCCCAGGTCCATCTAAGCTGCTTCCCTGATGATTTCTGCCAGAGGGTTTTTTTTATCCCCATAATCTGCTCTGGCAATTCAGCACAGGGAGATTCACGGGAGCATTAACTCCTATTGGACAACAAAAAGCTGTAAGAGCCATCTTCCTGCTGACAGTGAGTGAGGACCCAGCAGAAGGAGTGAGTTTGGAGACAATTTTGGTAACGGAAAAAGAATTCTAGTATTTAAAATCAACCTGATTGACAGTCAGGTTGGAAGCAAGTCTAAGTCCCTGAGGCTACGCACTCCTCACCCCAGTGGGGCCCTCCTCTGGGCCGCCTGTCCTGCTCCTGGGCTGGGCTGTGTTGGAGGGATCCTTGGAATGGCCAGGCTGTGAGGCAGCAAGACCTCGAGGAACTCAGCTGTGCGTGGCCGCTCCCTGTGAGCTCACACTGTCGGGCTGCCAGCAGCGCTGGGGCTGGCTTCCCTCACACCATCACAGTAGGGAGGGTCCAGGGAGGCTCCCAGCCCAAGTCTGCAAGGACCCAGAGGTACTGAGGCATGCACAGGCTGACGTGGTCCTTGCACGCATGGCTCGCTCAGTGCTCCCAGAAAGTGTACAGAGCAAAGCAGCAGCAGCAGCAGCAGCAGCACAGCATCCAAACTTGTGACTCCAAATCCTGTACTTAGCTCCAGCCCAGCCACTGGAGGAAAGCAGCCCTCCTGAAGTAGTTATCACATGGGCAATGAGGGGTGGGAGATCAGTGGTGTGTCACAGGGACTAGGACTAAAGAAGAGCTGAAAGTGAAGGGACTGAGTGACTGAATTACGCTGTGTGAGTGGAATGTGGGAGAAAATACCAGGTACACAACTAACTCACCGTATGAAAGCATTAAAAGGAACAACACCTGGAAATTGAGGCGTGCAAATTCATTTAGGAAATGAGAGCCAATGCCTGAGCAGTGAGGATGATGAGTATTGGACCAAGCTACCAATTTATGTGAGTCTTCCAGTCCAGATGAAAGCATGCCAGAAGAGTTACAAGCCTGAGAGCAACTGGCTGAAACTCAGTGCCTTGTAGCATGCAGGCTGTCAGGCTGGATGCTTTAATGTTCCTTTTTGGCCTCAGACTATATTAAAAATGAAGAAACCAAAAGCCCCTTTCCTGATCTGAATCTTGCCTTGCCAGCACTCCTTATCATTTCTTTCTACTCTTGTTCTCAATCGGATCTTGGAGGAGCTACTTTCTCTGTCCTATTAGAAGTCTCTCTCTCTCACTCTGCTTTTAGTAGATAAAAACTGGGGATTTTGAAGGTCCTGAAGGAAGTCAAACTCCCAGCTTCAACTGAATTCAAAGGGAACTGGGTGCCAAATTCAGAGCTCTTGTGAAAGTTCCAACCCAGAGCCCTGAAATTCAGAGTGGCTTTTGAAAACCTGTAAAAAGCAAGCTTGCTGATAGTGGGCTGTCTCAAGTTTTATTCCTTACTCTTATGCATTTTTTTGATGAGGGTGCTCTATAAATATGCACAATGATGATGCGAAATAGAGTAAATGTCTGGCTGTTGTGTATGAATTTTCTGCAGTGAAAATCACCAAAGTTATTTTACTGGCTGGTTATCTCAAAGCAGCAAGTATCCAGACGGTTGTCTCCAACTGTTGTTATTAAATTCAGCAGGAAATCCATCCTGTCCAAAAGAATTATGAGTTTCCATTGCTCCTGGAGATGTCCAGAGATGTTAGTGTGTGTATGCTCGTGTTGCACAAGCAGCCAGCAGTGTGTGGGGCTGGGTTTTGATCTCATCCTGGGCTGGGGGAGCTGGTTTGGAGCTGTAAAACTGATGTCAGTGTCTAGCCTGGGGGTTTATTTAGGAAAGCAAGCCTTCCAAAACACCCTGATCACTCCAGCTATAAATATGTTTCACATCACAGGGCAGCATTTGAAATTAGTGGTTCAGCATCCCGTAACAGGGCCCAGACGCCGTCAGTGGCAGCCTTTGCCATTAAGGACTTGGTGTTTGTCAGCTATTTCTGCTCAGAGGTGTGTGAGATACCACAGTTTCCCCTTTTTCTTAAAAGAGGAAATAACTGTGGTGGCAATCTGGACTTTGTCACTGCTGTAGATGCTAAACCACAGAGTCCCGGTCCCTTATGTATCCCATAAGGCCCTTAGGGGGTGGGACTCGTCTACCAACGGGTCAGGAAGCAGAACCCTGACTGGGGGACTTGCCCTGGCCAGGGGCCTGGAGCAGGTCCTCTCATAAGCAGCCATCTGGATGGTTGGAGAGGTGCTGCTGCTGCTGCAGTGGCAGCCCCCAATTGACACAGCTCCTAAATCCCCCCCTGCTCCCTGTGGCACAAGACAGTCTGAAGATATCTGTGGCTGTCCCCTCACACATTGTTCCTTGCCCAGCTGACAGAGCACAGGATGGTGGAAGTGACATGCTCAGCCCTAGAACAACCTCGCAGCATAGCTTTATTTTTCAGGTCGTTTTGATGGCACAAAATGGAAGCTGCTGTCCTGGATAAACTAGGAAGCCTGTTGGTGTAACCACACTGCTCAACTATCAGCCTCTGTTTGTTTCACAGACTGAGACTAGATCTAACATGATTAGAAAAGCTCAAATTTGTCTTTAAAACTTTGATTCATCTCAAAAATCATTGTGTTCTTGGCAAAATACATAAGTAAGCATCTTTAGAATATCTGCACCAGTCCTACATTTAACTCACTGTAATACCACAGCCACGTATAGCCACCTGGCAAAAGTCTCCTAGAGAAACACGGCAGCACAGAAACACGATGCTGTAGCCTTGAGAAAACAGCAAGAGGGCACTGACACTGTTCAGATATTTGATTTTATAGAAGATACCTCTGGACGTGAATAAAATCAATCTTGGTGAGCATGTATACACATAACAGGGTGCATTGCCAGCAACACGACATGCCATATACTGCAGTGAATAAATGCTGTTGTTGGAAGCATGGAGTGTACCAATGCAACTGGGGCTTTAGAACTTTCAAGGGCCACTCTGGATCCGCACCAGCCTGTTCCACCTCAGCCAGAAGGCAGCCTTCAGAGTGGCAGGTGGCATTTCTCCAGTTCCACTGTGGGAGCACAGCAGTGTGCTCAGGACGCAGCCAGCCCATCAGGCTGTCATGCGCCTATGCCAGCAACAGCACACTGGCAACCACTGTTATGGCAATGCCTTGCACAGTGCTTTCTTCCCCTCGTGTCAAGTGTGTATAGTTAGGAGTCACTGCATGGGAACTGTTGAGTCACGGTCTGAACCACTGATTGAGCACCTGGGGAAAGGTCAGCCCTGGGAGCACAGGTGAAGGTAATTCAGCTGAGTGACTGTAAGGGGGTGGAGCCTGGCTGCACCTCTCCTAGCCCTCATTTAAGGGCTGACTGCCAGAAGGAGTTTTCTGACTGCCCCTAAGGAGTTTTCCCTGTGAGCCTAGATCTTCAGAGAAGGGTGAGCACTTTTCCTTTGTAACACCTTTTCATTGTGCTGGTTCCCTTTGTCATTACACCTCCTGTATCACCATTCCACTGTGTTGATTTTTCCGTTACAGTCACCAAGCTTTTAAGTTACTTTCTCTGCTTTCCCCAGTTAGCGTAGCCTTAATTCAGAGAGTTTTCCGAGGCTTTATATGTACAGAACAAAGCTTTTTCATCAGCTTTAGTACATTTACAACTTTTCATGGAAAAAGTAAAAAAGCAGGAATGTGTTGTCCAGCTTTTTCTGGGGCATAGTGCCCTTACTGCCTTCTCTCACTCTGGAAACTGCATGCCGTATGCACTTCCCATTTCAGCCATTCCTAGTGGAGCTGGGCTTTGGCAATTAGTAATGATACTGACACACTGCTGTTCAAAAGAGCAGCACTGAAACCTCATACATGCTAAAAGCTCTTCCAGTGATGAGTTCAAGATAGAGAAAGCTCCTTACACATTGCAGAGTGCCATACAGGAAGAATTTGAAGAGCTGACCCTTTATATTTCCTATCTTTCCAGTGCTGTGTTTTACTATCTAATGGCTTACTGCTGACAACTCTTGGTTAAGCAAGGATTGGGATAGCCAAGGTAAACTAAAAACAAAGATAATATGAAGCATATGGCAATTAAATGCTAAGAAAATAAAGTCAGAGTACTGTGAGAGACCACAATCCCTGACAGCATTGACCTGGGCAGGGGTGGGCACTGAGGACCACATGGTGGAAAAGAAAAAGAGCAGTGGTTCATCCAAGGCCTTTTGCAACTCACTTTGGACTCCTTGTGCTCTGAGTATGATTAATCCACAACCTGGGTAATCTGTGCAAGGACTGGTGATGGCTGCTTGGTTTTTCTAACAAAGCTGCATTGCTTTAGTAAAACACTGTGCACCGTATGCGTTACAGTGGTGCTTCTATGTCAGAGCAGCACAGGAGGATGGTGAGTATTTTGCACTGTTGACTACCTCTTCTTTCCACACTGCATACATGCCTTGAATTTGCTCAATTTGTGATGTTTCCCACCCTGCTCAGCCCATGATGGGAAGTGCAGGCTGCCTTTCCATACCAAACTTTCTGCAAGGGGAGCTCAGTGCAGGTGTATGTGGGAAGTGAATGGGAATTGGGCCCAGATGTTGCAAGACGCCTCCAGCTCCCAGCCAAGCTGCTGGGGGCTGTCAGCACAGCTTGCTGATCACTGGGGAAGTTTATGGGGGAGCCAAACTCCAGAGCAAGCAGCCACACATGGCAGCTTGGCCCAGCTCAGCTCCCACCAGGCTTCAGCATGCTGCTCAGCCACGAGTGTGCAACTTTCTGACAGTTCCTCTTGAGCGGCTTTTCTCCAAAATAACCATCCTTGCTCTCTCTCATTGGCAGCATGACCCTGGGACAAGTGTATCACAGTTTTGGCATGTTTAGGACATGCTACCATAGTACAGCAATATTATGTGGCAAGAACAACATATGTTTTGGAAGGGAGTTCAGTTTATCTTAGCTGCTCCAAATTTACTTGACCTGTTTAATCCGGCTTTCACACTACATCATCTCAGTTGCTGGGATTGCTTTTAGGTCATGTCCCTTGCAACATGTGCAGCCAGTTGGCCTTTCATCTATATGTTTAATTGTCCAAAATGGTTTCCATGTGATTAACACAACACCCCCAGCCTCTCCCCCACTGGTGGTGGGCCATGGGTAGACCAGATTGTGCTGTCCTCCCTTCAGCTGTCAACTGGGGGGGTAGGGGGGGGCCTACGAGGAAGGAATTGTGCTTGGTGAGCTGGAGAACTTCCTCAGGGACACCATCAGATTGCTCCCTGTCTGGAGAGTACTGGGGGGAGAAGGAGGAAGGAGGTATTTGCTGTCACCATTACTTCTCCAAGGGAGAGCAGCTCCACTCTGCTCTTGCCTCATCTCCTGCCAACAGCAACAGCCATCGCCCTGCCCATCAGCCATTCCATCCGTCCAGCTGAATCACACTGGAGGCATGAAGCAGTGTTGGGTGCTGAAACCTTACAAGGCTTACAGTTGCAGAATACACCCATGTGCCCAGCCTGGAAACCGGCTCCCACCCTGCAGAGAGAGACAGGCCCCCTCAGTTGGGCATTCATAGTGGACCAGCTGGGGCCATGGCTGGGCGCTGCAAAAGTATCCACGTTTACCAGCTCCAGTCTTGCAGACCCGTCTGCTAACTCCATCCAGGGCTTTCTCTCACGAGGCAACCAAATGTGTTAAGAAAAGAAATTGAGAAGATCATTTTCACACCTGGCTTATTGACTGCAGTACATTTTTCTTCCTTCACTGCAAAACCATTGCACCGGCCACTTCTCTTCTCTAACCTTTCGATATTAATGTGGCAAAGTGCTTTCTGTCCTGGAATGTTTTCAGTCTGACAGAATGTTTTCAGCCTGTCAGAATGTTTTCAGCTAGATCTGGCCGAAGAAATGGACTGCTTCAAAAAGGATTGGAAAAACTAAGTCCATCTCTGATAGAAAGGTCTCCTGGAGCAGGAGAGTGCCCTGATGTGTACCTCAAGTTAACATGGAGATATCCATAGAACTCATGGAAGAAATCAAAGCCAGGGCCTTAGGCTGTAACCCAGATGCAGATGGCGGTGCTTAGAGACTAACAGGGCAATCAGGCCCTCAGGCCCCATGTTCTGAAAAGCTTCCCTTTTGGTTCTCTGCTGAACTAAAGATAGGGGCTTTGTGAGGAACAGATGAGCAGTTGTAAGCGTGACTTGACTGTAGAGGTCCTGTGTTCCTTCCTGTGAGTGCAGTGAAATGGTTGTGGTCAGACACCTGCTTCCTTTCCATCTGGAAACGACTGCATTTAAGCACTGGTTAAACCCTGCCTAGCTGGACAACCTGTTTCTTTGTACTCTTCCAGCAAACTTCAGGCCCTTCCTAATGCTTAAAAATGAACAAACAAAATCCTAGCAAATTACTCAACAGCAGACCAAATCATTTTATTTAGGCAGGGTAGCATCAGGGAACTTGTTATGCTACTGATGGTGGGGGGTCAGGGCTGCAATGGAGTTACTTAAGAGCTATGCTGAGGACATTGAGAGGGGACAGCATTTTGTTGCAATGCAAACTGATTCTTTTGAGAAACCAGGAGTGGTACATAGCAAGTCAGAGGACTTCAGGAGTAAAAAACTCAAAGAAGACCAATGACTGTGAAGTACTAGCAACAGGGGGAGCTGAGAGCAGTAGGAGAAAAAAGGGAGGTAGGAGGCAACTAGATACTTGAAGATTGCAGTTCCGATGATTTCATGTGCAGTCATTTGCAAACTAAGATGAAGGACTTTGCTGAGGCTGGTCAATTTTATATTCTAAACATGTGTCTTAATTTAGTGACCAAGAAGATTTTAAACAGCTGGGTTTTTCAGAAGATCAGTTTAGTTATAGGGATTTATTTTATTTTATTTTTGACTTGGAGAACAGGAAACAGCTTTGGAGTGAACTAATAGCAGATTTTTGTTTGTTTGCTTTTGTTTTTCTTTTCTGTTCTCCTGAAAGGGATTAGCAGCATGCTAGAGACCAAGCAGTACCTCAGCTTAAAAAAAAAAAAAAAAGCAGTTTTTAACTCTTAAGAAAACAATAATATCTGCCAGGAGCAAAAATGAAGTTTATGTGCCCATTACTGTAAAGTTAAATGCTACCAGCTGTATTGTCTACCTTTTCAAAAGGAACTTAGGTGACAAATTTCCCCTACTTTTCATATTTAAAAATCTGTTTTGAAATCTGCCAGGTTTTCTGGTAAGGTGTTGAAGAGAAGATCAGGTTTATGAAGTGTATTAAATTCTCATTAAAAAAAAAAAAAATCTAAGCTATATTTCAAATGTAGAGTCCTCGAGGGAGAAAATCACACATACCTTAGACTGAACTTCACCTTTCCTGGGACTGTAGAGCCTTTTGAGCCCTTCTTTCTTCTTGTACTAAATTCCTGTGAGGAGGCACACAGGGCTCAACATAGGAAGGAAATTGGGGGAGAAAAAGTTCACTTTCTTCTTTTGGCTTCACTCATCTCACAAAAGCCTCCAGATGTAACTCCTTTTGTCTGAATATTTCTGTCTGCTTCAGACTGACATTTCCTCTCCTAGCAGAGAGATGGGCAGACATATTTATGGCAGAAAAGATAAATTGTGAAGCATTTCTCCATCCAGGTCTGCATTTGCTTGCACATCTTGTGCTTTCCCTGCAGCCAAACGTGCTTTCATGCATACAGGAGCACTTCAGGATGCCAAGCAGCATGAGGGGCTGCCTGGACACGGAGATGTACCCCTGGGTTCAAGGATATTGTTTAAGACTTGTGGAGGTGAAATATGGCCATAAGCTAGCCAGCATGCATGGTCATTTGGGATCTCCCCAACTGGGCAGAATGATATTGCCCAGTGTGGATGAAAGCCACCACTTGGTTACCTCCCATCAAGCTGTGGCATATCACACAGCACATGGCACAGCCATGGCCAGGAGGAACACCCAAGCCCCCTTTCTTTGCAGGGCTGGTGAGTACCTCGTGCTCGTGGCTTCAAGCCAGGCCTTTCCCAGTTCTTGGCACTGCTGAACAGCAGCTGCAGGGGTCCAGAGGCCAGCACTAGATATTTCCACTCATTTGTTTTTTAAGCCTACGACCTCATCCTTACAAGCTCCATTTACTACACCTTTAGGATCCTGTGAGGTGGGCAAACACCTCTTAGAAATTTTACTTGGCTCAGTAAATTCCTCGGGGTCCCTAGTGAGCCATACGGTGAGTTGACCCTGCCCCACTACTGGGAGACCCAGAACAAGTGGCACATCTAGCATGGGGGAATGCAGTGTGTGGACAGGCTTAAAATACCCCAATTAGCTGTGTTTAAGGTTTAGCTTTTCCAACAAAAGTATCTGCAATTAATTAAAAAAAAGAAAAAAAGAAAAAAAAAAACAACCCCCACCCACCAAATGAGTTACATTTGTGCATTATTTGGTCATATACTACGAATTATGGTGGGACTGTGATTAGTGCCCTGTCTGTTAATCCAATTGAGCCTGACTGTGAGTGACTTACAGGGTTTTCTTCCAGAACATGAATGCTGGAGAACCAGAGGGCATTTTGTTAGGAACTGAACAGCTAGACTGAGTACTGTGCCACACAGGCAGACTTGCCTATACAGGAACTAACTGCATGCATACCCTTTTATGATGAAGCAGAACAGATCCTTTCAGGCCAGATCAGTGATCAGATGTGCACTGGCTCTAGTGTCTTTTTTCCTACAATAGCTATTAAAACCAGGCAATTAAATGTCTGTTGGCACAGTCTTTGCTCCTGTGCTTTGGGACTTCCTGAGCCAGGGCCACAGCTCTGTAGTTAATAACCCTTTAAGGATTTTAATTTTTTTAATGTGATTTTTCTAATCATTTTTGAGCTCATTTCTTCTTTTGAATTAGAACATCCCATGGCTGTGAATTTCTATATCCTGTGTGAAAATTTTGTTTTAATGTTATCTCAGATAATTTTAGCCAAAATTCCCTGTTTCTGGTAGGGAAGCACTCTAGAAGCAATGAGTACTTCCTCTCTTCTTCATGTCATTTATTGTTACAGGCCATGACATCACATTTGTGATCTCTTTTTCCAGGAAGAGAAGGCCCAGTGCACACAGCCTCTTTCCTTTCACTGGTCCTAATTTTTTCAGTTCTGTTTCACCTTTTCAGTGTTTGTGAATGCAAAATTAATCAGTAATGGAGTGATAAAGGCCATGTGATGATGTTTTCTCTTTGTTTTGTTGTCCTGAATTCCAAATCTTACACTTGCCTCTTTTTTTTGTTTTTTTTTTTTAATGAGTATGGTTACTCAGTAAATTATGCAAATCTTATTCCTGACAAATACTAGCAAACTAAAACCTACTATTGAATATGCACAATTTGGGGAGTCTTTGCAGTTGTGCATAATTTGTGTTTACCACTGCTGAATTACAGGAACTAACATTTCAGCCCATCATGAAGCACCAAGTTGCTGGCTGGCTCTGTGCAGCCTGGCTTGCAACTCCAACACCTCCCAGCAGGATGGGCCTCCTCAGTCCCAAACCTGGAGAGTGTCCCAGTAAACGCTGACTGTGGTAGGTGTTTCCTGATATGTTCTGTTATTAAAGCTTTTCCTAAAGTTTGTTGAAGCATTGTGAGAGGCTTTGTTCGAATGAAATTTTGCAGTTGTGATGGGTTGTATCAAAGCCTGTGTGCCTGTTTTTTGCCTGAAGAGGTGAGGATGAGGAGGATATAGAGGATGAGTGATGTCACTGGTTCCAGTAAGAACAAATTGCTGTGTGAGCAGGTGTGGGTCTTAGAGCTGATGCTGCTGAGGAGAGAGTTTGCAAATAGTATCTCCTAGTTCAGGGGGTGAATGATAGAGAAAAGCAAGACTGAGTGTGGTGTTCCTTTTGTTCAGGACCCCAAACAAACCACATGCTACACGCTTCTCAGGAATGAGGATTCTGTATGTCCTTCTGGGTAGGTGTTCCACTTCTGAGTGGGAAGACCTGAATGTCAGCTGTCAGTGACTGGTGTTCTGGTCTCAGGCTCCTCTTTTGTCAGTGCCTCCTGTGTGCATCTTCTTGAGAGGGATGAAGACAAAAGAGGGCCTACCTTGTGTAGCTGTTGATGCACTGGAAAGCCAAGATGCGGCTGGGTATATGATGTGTTTTGGCTGACTTAATACTTGTAATCTTTGTGCACTGTTTGTTTTTCAATAAAGAACAATGAAACATTTTTACTTCAAAGTATGGATGTTATGTGAAATCTCTGTGATGCATTCCCTATTATTTTTCCTAAAGCGGGAACTTCTTAGTTCCTCTGTTATGAGCATTGTCTTTTGACTTCGTTCATATATAACAGGAAGGCAAATCACCTGGGAATTAAGAGTAAAGGAAAAGTAGTTTGATAATTTATGTTGCTACTATATTGTTTGTGTTAATCTATTTTTGTTTTCAATATGAAAAAGTTACTTCTGAGGGATAACGTGGAGGATGTGGTAACAGAGATTTGGCATTTTGCTGTTTGTCTGCTGAGCATTTTCTCTGGTATCAGTGGAGCACTGAACTTGGCATGCTGGCATTAGGAGAGACCCTGGTTCTAGTGGAGGGAGGTATTACAGTTAGCTTGGCTTTGTGGCTATAGTTGCATATGGGAACAGAGATCTTGGCAATTTTTATACTGAAGAACAGTATGTTTTGTGCTTAAAACAATAATTTACTGTCTTCTATGGGGTTCAACTAGGAGCATGTCTTTCATCATCAGATGGAAATTGCTTTTTTCAGGGCTTCAAATCTGCGTGGTTCCTTGTCCAGTCTCTCCTTTGCACACACATGCATGCACATGCATATGTTTTGACTCTCATGCAAATTGAATGAGGAGAGCTCTCAAATCTTCCTAGCAATCAGGTTTGCTATGCAATGTATGTCATGTCACTATGTTACAGTGCTCCAAATGTCTGAGATGCACCATATTTGTATGAGCCTAGAACAGTGTGCTCATCAGTCTACTAAAAATACTTTCTGTCTAGATGAAGAGGATCCCTCATGTTAGAGGCCATACACCTAAACTACTAAGAGTAACAACCTCATTTTAATGTATTGCAAGAAAACCACACCACTCTTGCTGGTTTTTTTTTTGGTTTGTTTTTTTTTTTTTTTTTTTTTTGCATTATTTTAATACAGCATTAAAATGCTAGAATACTAGAGAAAAGCTGTATACTATCCAGCAAATAAGGCACATGTCGGAATGCCATTTTATGGACAATCCACAACAGAGGTTTTACAGTCTCTTTAGCAATGTAGTCGCTCAGTAAGCTAGCTGTCATCTTGATTGCTGAAGCAGAACTGGTACCTCCGAGGCTGTTGTCCATAGGTTCTGTTTTTGTTTCAGCTGTACAAGTTTCTTAACAGTTACAGAAAATGAAATTGTACAAATAGCCAACTGAATCTGACAAGGTCAGTGGGCACAGCTAAACAAATGTAATAGTAATTAGGTTAATTTTTTTTAAAGCTGAAGAAATTCATAAGATACAGTGTTAGTTTTAGCACTAGTACACAATGCAGTGAGTGCTGTACTAAACAATCTTTTAAAGGAAACAAGAATCCAGTACAGGTTTGGGCAGACCTCCCATTTTAGCATGGTAAAATATCAAACTAAAAACCCAATCCTTCATAATATAATCAAACTACATGAAATGTAAAGTGTAAAAATGCTTCAAATACGTGCACATGCATATTCTATATTGCTATGAGTTCTAATTAAAATAAACATAAATCCTTACAATCATCTACTTCAATGCATTTCTCTTCCATCCTTTGATTAATATTATTGCTGTAGCCAGTACTGCATAGCTGAGCTCACAGTCTGCAAAGATTTGTGAAAGTTGAGTTGTCAGACAGCGTCCCAATCAACTCTTTTCCCCTCTCACCATGAAAAAGGACAAGAACTACCATTTGAAACTCGACGCTTGTGCTTCAGAGTCTCTGAAAGCTGAGTCTCTGTGGTGCTTTCAGCATCTTCTGTCTTTCACAAGGTCATAAAGTGACACTATACTGTTATTTGCTCTCACTTGCTATACATCTAGTGATAGCTTTTTCTAGCAATCCTTCCCCAAATACACATAAATAAAATGTATAAGCATTTTCATATAAGTCAAAGCACTTGAATAATATATTGGTTACTTAATACTGATATTTTCATCCAAGGATAACAAAAACAATATGGCTTAAAGAATTGCAAGTTTTTTTTTGTCAGAATTATGTACCAACTTTCATATAATATTTTATGTAGACAATATTTCCTTCTTAATGTAGTTCTGTTGCATACTTTATACAGACAAAAGCATTGTAAAAAAAAAAAAAAAAAAAAAAAAAAAAAAAAAGTAAATTACTTCCATAAATATTTTCTTGAGGATACATCCCTAGTTCTGCAAAATACTTAAGAAGACTTTTACCTCTGTTAGTATCCTAGTTGAGAGGAAGGCCCTTCTGAAAGCTTCCAAGTTGTAAAAACTTTTTCCCAAAGAACAAACAATATTTTTACTAAAAAGGCCCTCAAATATATACAAAAAAGTTACTGCAAAGAGTTTCCAGATAAGATAACGATTCAGTATTACAAGAAATATTTGTAACCATTCAAAAATTTTAACATCTAGAAAGGTTTCCAAAATACACACATAGTATTAAAAAAAAAATTGAAAGTAACTCTATGTCAAGTATAACTCAAGATAAATACACATCTGCAAGTAAAACTGTAAAATACTTCATACAGGGTAAACATATCAATCATCTATAGCTAGTAACTGCACACGATTGTCCCTTTGAAATTCATCCTAGAAACACAAACCATCATCCCTATATCTAAGATCTTGACCAGCCCTCTGAGCACTTCAGCAAAATAGCAACATTAATGGACAGCAGTGGTTTTGCGGATAGGAAGGAGATGTGATGAAGCCTGATCTGGAGCAGAGTGATATCTTAGAGGATGATTTTGTGTGGGGATAGTTCCATCACATTTTGAAACGTTGGCAAAGGCAAATGGAAATTGTACGTCAGTTCACTTAAATCATAAACATGTGTTTTTGAAATCATTGCAATCTATTCAGTGGATAACTCTTAGCATCCACACTAGAGAAAAAAATGGTATTCCATTTGACTGCAGGACATAGAGAACTAATCTATGAATGCTGACATTTCCAAAAGCTTCTTACTATTTTAAAAGTAGTTTTATTTGGGAAATAACGGCTAGATCTTGTCAGGTATGCAACCCATGTTTAATCTAAATGTCACGTTATACAAAAGGTAAAATATAGAGAGCACTTCTTAATAAAAGGCTTCTTTCAGACAGCTGTAAATTCACATTTTTAGTTTACAAATTGTGTCCCATATAATGGGGAATTTAAAATACACTTATTTTCAGAAATAATATATACTCTTGTGTATTTATTTGAAATTAAGAGGCAACAGGAAGGCCTCAATTTTTTCTTGTGTGGCATCATTTTATGCCAGCCATAGCAGCAATAGAAACTGGCTAAAAGGGGGCCATCCTTTAAGCTACAGGGATTTCTTTCATTGTCATAAAAGGAAATATTTGTAACAACTTCAAAGGAGCTGCATCAAGTTAAAACAGTTAAAGCCTATGCTACTTATTTTGGATTCCCAATAATTTTCTCCAGTGCAGGGCCAATGCCAAAGAAAAACTTCATGTGAAATGTTCAGACCAACTAAAGAAATAATATGAGATATATTTTTCAAGAAACAAATGAACCAAAAAAAATCTGAAGGAGGAGGAAAATGTAAGAAAATCATCCCCAAAAAACTGCTGCATGCTGGATGGACCTATGGATCTGTAGGTGGGCAGATCATAGGAAGCATTTGATGAGGTTTAAAACTGGGCTTGACAGATAAAGGCAGAGAGAGAAATTTATTTCAGGTACGTCCCTGAGAATACTCTATTTAGGGAGACCTGCACTGATTTAAATTTCTTTACTGGAACAGCTTTGTTTCTGATAGCTGCTTAAAAATCCCTTTGAGGAATACTAGCTAATGGACTAAATGTAGAGCTATTTAAAGAGAACATCAAAAAAGTATTCCTAAAAATACAAGTGGTAAATAAACTCATCCTCTTCCCACTCAAAGTATGACTTCTAGGGTTGTATTTTTTCAGTTTGGAAGGAGTTTAGCCTATGGGTAAATTACCTTTTTTTTTTTTTTTTAATTTAAAAAAAGATAAAATTATAGGCAATTTGTTTTCTATTTTTTTGATGTGAAATTGATGTTAAGAAGTTTTCTTTCTGTGCCAATGACCACAAGATATTGTCTGGTTCTTAGAGCTGCGTGTTCTTCCAGCAAGACACCAAGCATACAGAAGAGCATGGAGCAGATGCTCCTATGAGCAAACCTTGGCAGAAGGGATGGAGGAACCTCATTCATGCTTCCTCAGCCACCAGCTTGCTAGAGAGAGGCCCTGAGCAGGACAAGAAAACAGGGTTGCCTTGCATTCTGGGGGAAGTTTGAGTTGAGCCCCGCAGACACAAGGAAAGGACATCCTGTCTTGGTTCCCAGTGCTCTCCTGTCCCACCCCTTGCCTCTCAGCTCCAGCAGAGACAGTGAGATCAGCACGCTGCTTCCAGCCCCAGGGGGCTGCAGTCCAAGTTCGGCAGGACAAAGTAGGGCAGTGTCTGGCTTCTAGCTTCTCCCCACATTTTTTTAATCTGTTCTTCCCCAGCATAAGTGCAGGGGAAAATAGATTTTCCTCCTAGATATTTTAGATATGCTTAATATTTCTTACATACTTTGTCTTCTACCTGGAAAAATGTGATATAAATATGGAACTCTTTTAACTCTACTTTTAGGAACTGTTACTGTACATGGAGAGTTGTTAAGTATGTTGAAGTTGATCACGTATATTTTTAGGAAGTTTATTTTAAAATAAAACCTAAAAGCACCACCATGAAACACTGAATCTGGATAAACAGTTTTTAAGAGAACACTGTCATGAGAATAGCGATGATTGCATATGATGGCATTAGCAGTTGGCCTTTGTTCAGTATCTGCTGGTATGCTCTATATTGATGTAGCTATACCATGGGATGTGCTATTCTACTGATTTAGTGGTTATCAAAAAGCAGGAATTATTTAAAAACAAAATGCTTGGCAGCAACGTTACGGAGAAAAATAATTCTCTGATTTTCTCCTGATGGTGTTCATCTACTTGTCCTTTAGTTGGATATGAAACACCAAGGATATTTCTGTTCATGTTCTGTTAAGCGCTCAAAAAGGAAAAAAAAAAAAAAAAAAAAATTGGATTTAATGCGTTATTCTTTCAGTAAAAGCATGCATGCTGGAAACTAATTATCAAGATTAACAAGCTTTAAAATCCACCCTCAAAATCACCTGTGTATTTTATTCTCTTATAGGCAAGTTAGTATCTTTGTTTTTCTCTAAGGTATTTTTTTTCTGAATCTGTGCAAAAGAATGCATTTCTATTTGAAAAAGCTGAAACTGTATATCTTGACTGACGTAACTGAGATCTCTTATTAGTGTTAACATTCAATAATATTATTCTTCTGCTACTCTAGTTTATAGAACTACCATCTTGGCAAAACTAGTTTCAAAGTGATTAATTTTCTTTAAGATTTTAGAATTACATAGCATTTTTCATCCAGTGATGTCAAAACGCTAATAGATACTGAGTATGCCTCACAACACTGCTGTGAGGTAGGTGCACTGAAGTACGATTACCCCCCTTTTGCAGCTGGGGGAACTGAAGTCCAAGAAGGATCTCGTGACTTGCCCACAGCCAGGGAGCTAACGCAGGAGTCATGGTCAGAATCAACAAATCCCAAGGCTTTTTCATCAGACTGACCAGTGGGCTGTGTCACTTGGGCTACACATAAATAATGCAGTTTGTGAGATATGTATATTACCCTACCACCAGAATAAGCAGAAACTATTCTGCCCTGTTTAGAACAAAGCAGAGAAATGGTCGAAGTTTCACCTTAGAACAAATTCTAAAGACCTTCACATTTCCTACAGGAATGCTCACTGAGTTTTCAGTTCGCTTTGCAAGAGCTTGACTGTACTTATTGGTTATGTTTTGGTATTACTTGGCACAAAACCCTCTCTGTATTAGTACTGTGGAATTAATCCTCAAAACAGATTTAATTCACATCAAGTTATGTAGGATTTTAAATATTTCCACTAAGTATTCACACAAATCAATCTCTAAAGGAAACCTCACAAAAATAGAAATGTTTTTTTTTTTTTAAAAAAAAAACAAACAAAACCCAAACCTAAAACCACACAAACCATTATCCCTGTAAGTTTTCTCAGTGAATTGCTTGTTTTGTCCTTATGCCCATGTATTCTTATACAGACATATAAACAGGATACTGTCTCGAGGTACTTTCAGCTCATCCCTGATGAGATACTACTTTGCAACAGGATCACCCTGCCCAAAGTTCCACCTGAAATGGGACAACCAAATATAACTCCTACATTTCTCCTAAGGTAAATAGGTGTTTCAGGAAGACAGGAAAGTGGGAATATTATAAAGAGTGTTCTTCATACCTCATAACACCTTATGGCTAAAAAGTTTTACATTGTAACAAATTTGTACAGTAGAAAACAGGACATAAAAAATATTTCCAGAAAGTGGCTTTAAAACTATTATAAATAGTAAGTTTGGCTAATCGTTCAATTATGGATTTGGAGGACAATTTTAAGCATTCTTATCCCCCTTTATTCACAGTAAATTTAGTGTGCTTGCAGCCTAATGAATAGCGCATACACATGCAAAACCTCTTGTAGCAGAATTATATGACAAGAGAAAGATCTGTTAGTCACACAACCAAGCCAATTTTATCTCCTCCAAAAACCTCTTGGAATCCTTCCCGATGCTATGGGTCCCATTATGGCGTTCCCTTTCTGTACAACCACACCCTCAAACAATTATTCACTTTTTTTTGCCTCAAAATTGCAAAAAATGATTTTGCCTGAGCCCTGCCTGAGTGACACTAACAAATAGAAAAGTCCAAGAAAGCAGCAACACAAAACTCTCAGACTTTCTAAAACTGGGAAAACAATTATTTTCCTTCTTTTATGCTGTGGCTTGTTTAATCTCCTTTTGTCTTGTCATATAATAGGAATAATATTCCTGTCGTGGGTGAGTGCTTTTAATTAGTGGCCCCACAGTTATTTCACCTCTGCAAAACCCATTTATCACATATAGTCCTTGTGAATATTATATCTTGCCTAAAGAATAGTACTTCATTTCACCTGACCATGATATAGGGTCTGTGTAAACAATCAGCAGAACCTGCAACTGTGGTTCTGTTGTGAACACTATCAGTAATGCTTATACGTGTGTACATATATATATGTAAGCTTACATATATATGTATGTATACAAATTCACCATAGTCCTGTAAATACCTGTTGCATGTGTGTGCATACACAGGAGAAATGTTACATTCCGTTAAAGGTAAGGCATACTGTTAGGTTATAGATAGGCAATATTGGCAATTATTTTAGCTTTTATCTTGATGTGTTGTGTTGCTCTTGATCGTGTGCTGTCAGAGGATCTTTAAGGATGAGGGGGACGGGAAGAGGCCACTTGGAAGGTTTATTGCACACGGCGGCAGTAGTAGCCCAAAACTTTGCACTTCTCACACAGGTGCTGGGGATGTTCTTTGCTCTGGTCTGAAACGTCCAGGCCATCCGGCTTTTCCAGGGGTCTCTGCAGAGAAGAGTGGGAACAAGAGTTGATTCAAGGCTTTGTCACTGCTGTTAATTTCTACCACATGTGCTGAGCATACTTCTATGCTTAACCAGCTTTCTCCTCACAGTTACAAAAATCCTGCTGTCTGAGCAGACAAAATATTTTCAACTCTTTGCTTTATAGTGGCATGAAGTTGCCTCGCAGTCTTGAATGTTGTTCTTCATAAAGGTTCTGTTTACCTTGCTGTAGGTAAACTAATGAAAGCCCGAATGGGGAGTATGTTTATGTGGTGACACAGCAATTTATTCCCTTGGCTCCAGTAACTGAGACATCCCAAAAGCATTAGCACTTCAAGCATGGGAATCCCACTGCCCAGAATGCCAGAAGGGTTAACAACACTGCGATTAGCTGCTGCTACAGGAAAACTGTTTTACCTATGCACAGATATCACATAAGTCAGTGAGGTCTCAATCCCATATTTACGAGGCTGATGTTTGTTTGTTTGTTTGTTTTTTAAGTAGAAGAGCTGCAAAGCTATTAGTAAAAACAAAAACAACAACAACAACAAAGAACCAGAAAAACAATCTCTGTTGTGAACCTGACTGATAATTTGGATATATTGCTAAAGAACACTTGTAGAATCACAGGGCTGGCAGTATATTTAACTAAAAAAGGGAGCAAAGCTGCTTTGAGTTTAGTAATCCATGTGCTTTAATTTTCTATGACATGTAAGAAGTTTTGCAATCACTTGGAAAATATTAAGTATTTTAGTAGGGATATTGCTGTTTGGAAAATCTGATCAGCAGAAGTGATAGAGCTGCGAGGTAGAACATAACACTGATGTGCACAGTTTGTTTTATACTAACAAAATGCTGTAACATAATTTCTCAGCTTTCTTGGAATGTACCTGAAAAATGATTTAAATACTCAATGCCTTACCAAGAAGAAGACAGTGGAAGTTCTGTGGAACTGTGGTAGAGACAGTGCATGATGTGAAATCTCAAAATAAGCCATAAGCATCTCACTGTTCTTACAAGGATAGCAGACTACTGCTTATCTTTCTTGTAACAAAGAAAAGATGAAAAAAAAAAATAAAATGATGGCCATTTATCTTTTATACCTTCCCTAAATACTACAGGCCTGTCATCATCTTTAAAACCTGGTACACCTGGTCTTCTAAGTTTCCTGGTTATTTATTTTTAAATTCTGCATATCAAAGCCACCCATCTGAGTGTGAGTGAATAAGTATTGACCTTTCTGAAACTTTTTTTTTCTCTTAGTGTTACTCTGCAAGAGCTGCTCACACCCTATAGAATGGAAGACTTTCCCAGTGTTCAGTGGTTACAGTCAGGCAAAATGTACTCTTTTCCTAAAAAAATAGTCTGCAACTTCTTGCTATAATCAGTTGTATTGGATTATAAGTACAACACTTGTTCATTATGTTGCATAGCTAGTAGAAAGAATGTATGGGAGCAACTCAGTAGTGATTGCCAATGTCTTGTCACCAGTTCAGGATTCCTACCCACAGCACGTTGCCAAAATTTTTCTCTGTCCCGGGCTAGAGGCTATGTGACCTTCTGAGCTTAAATTTGTTTATAATTTAATTTCACGCTGTTTTTCCTTTCTTGGAGAGGGGGTGCTTGAACCTGTATTGATTGTGTATGAGGAAGGAAGATTTTGGATCTATTGGCAACCTCGATTGAGACTGCAACTCAAATGCTGGTGCATTCTGGGCTTCTGCCACAGCAGAGACAAGTTGAATAAGCTTATTGGGTCAGAAAAACTGCCTTTATGACTGTTCCACAGCCTATTCCACCAACATCTGCCCATAAATTTTCTTCAACAGTTTGCATTACATAAATCTTCCTCAAAGATGATGTCCAGGTTTAGGAGCTCCAAGATTTAATTTATTCTCCAAAATGGAGAATTTTAGAGCTTTGAAATGTTGCACTTAAAACAGTCTATTTGACTCAGCTCTGATTGCTTCTACATGTTAGCTGTGTTCTGATTAAAGAGAAAAAAATACAGCAGTTATCATGTTTATTGATATAAGCCAGATTTTTTTAATACACATGGCCTTGGGAATCATTTTTCCTGGAAATAGTGCAAAGGACATTGGGAGTGTCTTGAAGTGCCAAGAGTTTTTTGGACTGTTTTCAGAAACAATAGCTCTCCGTGGTTTGCTTTCCCCCTGCGTTGATTGAGCTCAGCTTTTTGGCCCACGAAACACTTCGATTTCAGAGATGTTATTGTTACCTCTGTGTTACGACATAGAGGCTGGGGAGAGAGGGGTTACAAGGCAGGAAGCTGGGTTTCCAAGGGCTGGCTGGAAGGAGCTGAGCTGAGCCCAAACACTGCTTTTGCTGAGGGCTGAAGCCTCAAAATGGTGGTGGGCTTGCACAGTTTGTGCCTAAAATGAAGCCCCAGTTTATCTCTGTGGGTTTCCTGCAAGCCAAAAATCCCTGCAAGAGCTCTGAGAAGCAGCTGTTTTCCTCCCATTCTTACTGCTGATGTTCTAATCGTGTGGAGGCCTTTGAGGCAGTAATCTTGCAGACTTGCAACTTTAATGCTATGCTAAAAAGGATATTAGATAGCTAAAGGTCTGCAGGTGATGAAGTGAGATTTCATTTGTACAGGCAGCTGAGGCTGACTCAGGAGCACTCTCACCAGCTTTGGAGGGTGAAAGCAGAAGGTGGAGAGTGCTGAACAGTTGTGTGGCTGCACACTACAGGTAATTTGGGGAGTTGTCTGAATGCTGCAGAAGATCCACTCAGCTGTGGAGGCTCTCTAATCCTCCAGCCCTGTGCTGCCAGGAGCCCAACAGCAGGAAGGTTCAGTACGCTCAGAGCAGGCCTGGGAAAGAGGACTGGCTGCTTGGCTGAAGGAACAGTGCCTTTCCTTAGAAAGAGGAGAAATGCAGCCTGTAAAAGAGCAGAAAGTCCTGCTATATTTCTCTGGGAAAGGTATTCTTTCTTCTGTAAAAGGGAGAGTTTAATGTTTTGGTTTTCTTTTTTTTGTAATGCAAGTAAACAGGATTTGATGGTCTACTTTCTGTAAATACTATGGGGAAGGGCATTTCTCAACGTCTTGAGTTTTTGCATCTTTTTCTTTAGCATTCTTTGGTAGTTGATGGCTGGAAATGACCTTATGCAGCTCCGCCAGGAAGGCATTTGACAGCAGTGACTAAAGCCATTGCCCAAGGTGAATAAAACTGAACTAAATTTAAATTAGCAATTCCTGTCCTGCAAACTAACTTAAGACTGTGAAGTATTGCTTCCCCAGTCTACATGTACTGATTAAACTCTGTATTCCATAAATCCTTTTTTCAAAATAAAGAACAAAACATACTCAAAGTGACTCATATATACATAATGTCTTAGATGTTAGTGGAAATGTCACAAGGACACCCTTTAGAGAAATTATTCTTAGTGGAAGCAAAATGGGTGCTTATATTTCTATTTAGAAGTTTGAATTTTATTTATTTTTTCCCCTTTAGAGTGGAACAATTTGATTCTACCTCTGGTAGATAAATCATATCAAAATTTAAATGCAAGAAAACAAGTATATTTCTGGACTCATTACATCAGGCCTTAATGGAACAAATGAGATGAATAGATGACATTAGATCTGTGTGTAAAAATTGATTCTACAGCTAGAGGTGGCAGGATACTGATAAAGGGCAACAATCTTCAGGTGCATTAGCTTCTATGCTTCTCTCAAGGCACAGACACTCTCAAGAATTTGTACATTGTTAGTACAATAAAAGATTATGGATTATGGATGTGAAAGGATTAAATGTAATGTGTTCTTGAGTGGCAGAGCTTTGCTCTCCTGCCTGTATGGCATGAACAAGGACTTCAGTTGTGGCTGTGAAACAAAAAGACTGCAATGAGAAGGCTGCAGATCCATGGCATGAAGATGTGAGAGCAGGCAGCCTCTGTTAGCGGCATGCCTCTGGAACAGGCCAGCTAGGAATGAAAGAGAGCCACCTGAAATGAACAGCAGAAATCTCTCTCGGTTTCAGAGAAGCAGCAGTCTGGGATGACCTGTTTTCCAACTGCTGGGGCACACAGAGGTGGAAATGCAATGATTCCCCTCCAGCTGCTGGGGAGGAATTAAATCCAAATAGGAGAGAGGGTACTTGCAGGCCTCAATCTGCTCACTAGTGTGTTGGGCTTTAGAGTGATCAGAGCCAATCCTCCCCAAGCTGAGGGAAGAGAAACTGCACCTGGACAGGGGAATTATGATGGAATCACTGCACTGCCTGTGGAAGTAATAGCTTGGATAACATGAAGAATGTATTTACATACCAAATTATTTTCAGTCTAGCGATAAATTCCTGACAGCTGGAAGTAAGTCATGTCCAAGAGGACAAGTCAGTCACCAGATGGCTGGTTCTACACTGGTGCAACAGCTGTCATCACAAACAGCCCTGGAGTCAGCCACGAAGTCAGAGGAGAAGCCTTGATAAGAGGCCAGCCAGGAAGCAGGCACAGATGCTGCTGCTAGAGCAGTCAGGGGAAGAAAATGAAAATTCAGAGCTTGGCGTCTGGGCTGTTACAATGCCAAGAACACTGGTGAAAGGCTAAAATGACTGGCTCCACACTGGAGCAGTATAAGGAAGAGTACAGACAACTATATGGAATCCAAATTTCAGGAAATAATAAGAGGTAGAACTAAGTTCCATCTGAGGCTCCTTTTTTTTTTTTTTTTTTTTTTTGTTATTGTTGTTTTGTTTAGGGTAGATAATGTGATTAGGCAGGAAACCTCTTTTGAAAGAGCAATCCAGTAACTTGTTCTGGGCAGTTCTTTGCTCTCCTGTTTCTCAGCAACACTTGAACTCAATGGGCCTCAAGGTCTTGGGAATTCCTGTAAGTATTTCCACCAGGAACTTAGTCATGAAGACAAAAATGCATGCAGTTTTTTTGGAACAGCTGTAGCAGTTTTGCAGCTCAGGTGTGAAAGCCACCTGTTTTTTCCACTCTGAATTAGTTGGTATCAAGGCAGCAGACACTTGT